TGGTGTGACTAAAGCAAGCCCATGTTGGAGACGAGGACAAGTGGCAAGGGCAAATAGTAGGACCCCAGTGCAACTGCACTGCGTCGTAGGGTAGTCGCCATGCAGTCGTGGGAGAGTCTAGAAAGTACCAGTCCGGTCCAGCAARTACCACGGGGGGGACTGTGTGCACCATGGGCCAGGGATACAGGGCAGACCAACGCAGCGCAGAAGTATAAATCAAGAGGCTGCGTCCAGCCATTCGTTCATTCCTGCGGATGCCATGCGGAAGCGCTGCCTTAGCAGCTTGTGCGAGGAGGTCTGCAGTGTGCCCGAAGACGAAGTGGGCAGAGAAGTGTAGAGTAGCGATAGGTAGTGGAAGCTAGCGCTGCCATAGCTATAGCATAGCGTGTGTGTGTGTTGCGTATGATACTGAGTGTTGCGTGTGGGACATCCAGGGTGATCCAGAGTGCGAACAGTGAGTTGTGTGGGCGCCCAGTCGCCATAGCCAGTTGAAGAGAACTCATATCTGGTTACGATATCTTAAGTACTGTCAGGGCGCATGTCGCCAGTTGCTGTATCGCTGTTTGCATGCAAGACAAGTGTGAATTATCGGAGTGTGATTGCAAAAGCCCATCATGTATTGTAACAGTCATTAATTTTTATTTAATTATTTATTATTATTATTATTATTATTTTACAGCCATCAATTAAACGGACAGAGATCCAGATCTCAAAAAAAAAAAAAAGATCTCAATCATATTGAGGGCGTACTCACACAGTAAGGACTTTTTCGACTATTTTCTGCACGTCATTGCTGTCAGATACATCCCCCCCGGTCGTAATTACGGTCAGATGCATTAAGGAATTTCAGCGTGCTAGTGTGAGTCTGCTCTCAGATGAACAAAACAACTCTGACAAACTTACTCTTTGCCTTCTTACCTGCTGGGCCCGGTCTCTGTCAGTTCAATGATGAGATCTCAAGGCCGTTGCCTTTTTTTTTTTTTTTAAAAAAAGAGAAAAAAGGAAGAATTTGACCGAATAGAAAGAAAAAATAAAAAAACAGAACCGTAGTTTCGGTCAGACGGAAGAGAGAAGAAAAGCGTCGTCGGGCTCAAAATAAAGTTGTCCTTGGGGACATTAGTGAAATTTGGAACGATACAGAGAAAGAATATATATATATATAACATGTTATATATATATCATATACTTATATGTTTGTGACGATATATAGATAGATAGATAGATATATAGAAAGAGAAGATTTTTAGCATGGCCCGTGCGCAAGGATGACACACATAAATCGAGAAATGGTCCAAAAAGACAAGGGGAAAAAAAAAAAAAAAAAAAACTTGTCGTCGCAAATTGCGACAATAAACATAAATGAAAACAACAACTCCCAAAAAAAAAAAGAAAAAAAAAAGAAAAAGAAGAAGGAGAAGCAAATCGAAGTACAGTAAGGAGGAAAAATAAAATTGGAGTATAAGCACACGGGCCGAGGTCCCATTAGCAAAGAGGATCGGATCGAATGCCTGAATGTGGACGTGTTTTATGCAGAGATGCAGAAAAGCAGTTCAATCTCGATTTCCTGCACCTCTCGACAAACACGTCCAGATTCAGGCATTCGATCCGATCCTCTTTG